ACATTAATAGTAGTTTAGAAAGGAAATTTATGGAATTACTCAAATCAAAAATGACAACATTTATGAAATACCTTTCTTATCCTACTTCAGCCATCTCCTCTTCTTCCTCTTCCTCTGAAGTCACTTCTTCTGTTGCCCCATTCTGAAACAGAGAAAAAATCTGCCAGGGTTACACAGGCTGAATACAGGCTAAATCCATTAGAAGACTGATGCCATAGCTTTAGGGACAAACTCTCAACCATCTGTCACTGCAGTGCCGCTACCAGAGAGCTTATTAACATTAAATGTTTATTTTTAAATCCAACTTTGATTTGACAAACAACAGTTATCAGCTTTTAAAAACGGAACAGAAAATAAAAGAATTAGGAATAAAAAAGCAATCAAATATAAATATAAAATATAAAAAATATAAGTCAAATATAAAGCAAAACTGAAAACAACGTTAAAACAGAATCTAATTTAAAAAAAGAAAACATTTTACTTACATGGCTATGTTTATAAGATCAATGGCTTATTTTGTTTAAAATAAATATAACAAACTATCCATTCCTTAAAATAACTACCTTTTTAACTTTGAAAAGCCTGAATCATTACATAAATTCAATTGCCTTTCATTTTGAAAGATCAGATGTGTGATTTATAGACACTTCACAAAACTAAGAATTATGAAATGATTACCACCTCACTAAAAGGCAAATTTTAGTTTTAAAAACATGTTATTTACTACAAAATACCTCTCTGCAAGACAGAATTTACCAACTGACACAATTGACAATCATCAAGTTTAGAAATGAATTTAATGGGGTTTTAGGAAGGGCCTTCATACCCAGTTTGGGCAATTTCAAAGGATAAGCTTCCTGGCCACTGTACGGTATATAAATGCATCTTTAATCATGAAGGCCAGTTCAGGTTAGAACCCAGAATATGTAACATATCAAGAAACGAGGATCCAGAGATCCAGTAAGACCCACAAAGGTCTCAGTAGTTTCTAAGCATCTGTTCTCAGATACTCTGATGGAGGAATACTTAAGAAAAACAACCCATGATCACAGAGGGTGTTAGAACTCTTCTGGATTAGTGAGCTGGAGAATGCCGTGTAGATAAACATACCCATGCAGAATTAACTTGTATTTCCTTTAAATCTGCATCTCTTTAGACATTCTTTGTCTTCTAAAATCTAAATGGAAAAAGGAAGAAAGCAGCAGCTTCCAAAATGTAATTCACCCCTTCTTCATTTCCCTAAATTGATACATTCCAAATCAAACTATTCTGGGTATCTAAAGAATATATACTTAGCCTACAAGTCCCAAAGACTTTGTTATCACTGATGAAAGAACCATTTTTGAAATGCTCATTTCAAAGCCTACTCAGAGAACTGCTTGTCGTGTGTTTGTGGTTGTTGTGTGTGTTGTTTCTGTTTGAGATGGGGTCCACTCGCACCAGGCTGGAGTGCAGTGGCAGGATCTCGGCTCGCTGCAACTCCGCCCTGGGTTCAACGATATCTCCTGCCTCAGCCTCTCCAAGCTTCTGGACTATAGGTGCAATGCCACCAACGCCCAGCTGTAATTTTTGTATTTTTATGAGGACGGTTTCACCAGTTGAAGGATGGTCCGATCTCCTTGACCCATGACCGCCCACCTCGGCCTCCCAAAGTGCTGGGCAGAATCTGTTTTAAAAAAGCTCTCTGAGGTGATTCTGACATGCATCCGTGTCTGTAACCATCAGCCCAGTTACTATCTTTCATTTTACAAAGGACAAAGCTGAGCCCCCACCCCTCAAAAAGGGTAATTTAATCAAAACAAAAAGTGAGTTAGTGTTGTGAAATCCTAAGATGAATTTCTTTTCAGGATGTGGCCTGGTCCTCTTTCCAAAACCCCACCAAAATGACAGTATTTTATTGAAAAGAATAAGTCTGCCACAGCAGCAGAAAAATAACAAATACAAGGAGAATACCCTGAGTGAACCAAAACCACAGGGACATGCTGGAAGACACAAAGCAGACTGAATCAGACTGCTGGGCTTAACAAGCCACAAACCCAATCCAAATAATGGAAGCACTACTTTTTTCCAGAAGAATCTAACATTCTTTACTGTACTTCTCCCAACTACAGTTGGTAAGGATCACCCTCTATTGATATAGGAAGCCTATCTTGATGGCCTCTTAATGTGAGTGTGAAAACCAGAGATAAAAGACAATCTTTTTAACATAACTCAACACAGCAGCAAAATCTTGAAAGAGACACCATCTCTGCCTTTTAACTCAGGAGCTAGAAAGCTCTCCTGCCAGCACCTCCCCATCCTCGTGCCACAGGATGAGCATGAGTCTGCAAACCAGGAGAGGGAGGCCACAGCAGAAAAGAGTGACAATTCTGAAGACGCCTGTGATGGTTAATACTGAGTGTCAACTTGATTGGGTTGAAGGAATCCCAGCACTTTGGGAGGCAGAGGTGGGTCATTTGAGGTCAGGAGTTCAGGACCAGCCTGGCCAACACATTGAAACCCCGTTTCTACTGAAGACACAGAAGTTAGCCAGGCTTGGTGGCGGGCGCCCGTAATCGCAGCTACTCGGGAGGCTGTCGCAGGAGAATCGCTTTAACCCGTGGACTGTCAAGAGACATAGGTTGCAGTGAGCCAAGATCGCGCTACTGCACTCCAGCCCGGGTGACAAAGAGCCTGTCTCAGAAAAAAAAAAAGAGCGAAGTCTCGCTCTTATCCCCCAGGTTTGAGTGCAATGGCTGGATGTCCGCTCACTGCAACCTCTGCCTTCCCGGTTCAAACGATTCTCCTGCCTCTGCCTCCCAAGTAGCTGGGATTAAGTCACCTGCCACCACGCCCGGCTAATTTTTTATATATTTTAGTAGAGATGGGGTTTCACCATGTTGGCCAGGCTGGTCTCCAACTCCTGACCTCAGGTGATTCGCCCGCCTCGGCCTCCCAACGTGCAGGGATTACGGTGAGCCACTGCGCCCGGCCGAAACACCGAAAAGCTTAAAAGCCTTTCCCCTTCCCCGCCTGGGCTCAAAAAACGCCGGAGCCGCTCTGCACCGCCCTGTCGCGGTTCCCGGAGCAGGCCGGCTGACTCGGGCGACCCTGGCTCCCGAGAGGGCTCCGGCCACCACGGGCTCCCACCTCTGGGCGCGGGGACAGGAGCCGAGACGGGCCAGCAGCCCCCAAGCCTGCCCCGCGCCTGGAGCCGGAGAGACGCGCCCTCCGCCTCTTCCCACCCAAGCCTCCCTCAGTCCCGGGGGCGGGCCGGGTTAGTCGCGGGAGAAAGGGGCGGGGAACCGGGGTCTCTCCCGGGCAGGCACCCCTTTGTTCCGGGACTCCAGGCGCCCCCTCTCCGCCCTCACCCTGCCCCGCAAGGCCTCCGCGCCTCACCGTCATGTTGCAGCGGAGCGTGAGCCGGCGGCTGCGGGCTCCTGATTCTTGTGGAAGACAGATGCCAGCAACTTCAGTTTGGCCTTGAGCCGGGATACTGACATCTTCCACTCATCTCAGGCCGGAGGGGCGCGGAACCCGAGACTGTCCGGAGCCGCTGTCATGGCCGCGACCACCCCGCAGGGCCGCCCTGCAGAGCTCTCCCAGCTTCGCCGCTCGCCGCCGCCTCCACCCTCCTGGGAGCGCGGCTGGAAAATGGCAATAGGCACCGAGGAGGCCTTGGCAGGAGCTGTGTGGAGGCGTGTGGAGGCCTGTGGAGCTGCTCCCATTGTAACCGACTCCACCGACGGGAGGCGCGGCTCCTGTCAAGCCACAGTTTAAAAGGGCAACAGCACCACCGCCCCCGCTACCGCCTAGGAAAGGGCTGCCCGCATCCCTGTCCCAGTCCCGGTCGCCCCTCGCCGCTCAACCCGGCGTGCCCCGAGCGAATCCGTTTTGGCGGGTGAACGAGTCCAGAGCGTGCGCGCGCCCCCTGCTTCCCCCTCCTCCCTTGACCCAGCACCTTTCTGCCCAACCCATCTTGGTCCCTTCCTCACACTGGCTGATTGGAGGCTCAGGGCGGTACAACCACCAACTCTGTGTGTGTGTGTGTGTGTGTGTGTGTGTGTGTTTGCGTGTGTCTTTCTGTCCGTCTCCCAAAGGAACAGAGCACTGCTGAGTTGAGGCTGATTATTAGCTCGTGGACTGTTAGCAAAATACAGTCACAAGAAGGCTGTGTGCTGATTTGTCTTTTGCGGTGACATCATGTTGCTCATGTTTTATGTTTTTCAGAGTTCATTAGTTTCTATTTGTTCTCAGTTAATATCTAGTTCAAGAGATTGTGTAAGTAGAATACCCCCAAACTGAAAGTCACCTAGGTAAAATATAGGAAAAATATGTCACCCATTTAAACTATAGTTGAAAATGTGTACACGTTAGTTTTGTGTAGCCAACACTGGATACTGGGTAAGGGCACAGGATCCCAGGGCTAGACTGCCTGGGTTCAAGTTCCAACTTAGCCACTTGCTGGCTTTGAAATACTTGACTGCTTTAAGCCTCAGTTTCTTTCTTTGTATTTTTTTTTGACTTAATCCCAAATGTGATATAGTAAGTTTCAGTTTCTTGATCTCAAAAACAGAAATTATTCAATGAGAGTCTGTGTGAAAACTTTAAAGTTTTTAAAGCCACTACCTGACTTAGGAAAATCCTCGGCTTTCGCTGTTAAAGTTTTAAAAGCCACTTTAAAGTTTTTAAAGCCACTGCCTGGCCCAGGAAAGTCCTCAGCTTTAGCCGTTATTAGCTATGATTATTATTGTGTTGGCTACACGTGCATTAATGAGGCAGGAAAATGCTCAAGGATAACAACCAAGAATCCAAATTATCTCATCAGACCAAGAGGGAGGCATATGTATGCATGCTTATGTTTCAGCTCAGAGCCCTTTGTCTAGAAGGCTCTTGAACTCAGAGGCCCAGGCACTATCAACTTTGTCCTGGAGCCAGCACTTTTGTTGATCAATGAAATTGACATAGTGCTTTTTTTTTTTTTTTTTTTGCACCAATCATGTGCCTCAAGCTAACTGTGTCAAGAGGAGCATGCTTCAGATGGCTGGAGTGAACAATTCAACTTGTGGAGGAATGAGAAATGTTAGTGCTGAGACAAGAAACATAAAACCCCAGGGTAAGGTAGGAATCACTGAAAGTCAGGCAAAGGAACCGGCATCCAGTAATGAGTTAGGCTTTGCCGGCTTCTGGCCCTACAGATGGCTCTTTGGAGAGGAAAAAATTAAGCCAGGCCCAAGGGCACAGATCCTAAGGGAATGCTGGCAGCTCTAGGCTGTCTATGGAAGAGAAGCAAAGGGTGGCACCTCGATGAAAGAGGGGGCTGGGGGACATAGCTTGAGCCTGTGTTTACAGATGGAGTCTCCTGATTCCTGCGACTGGGGAAGGAGATTGTGCCAGGATCAGGGGACCTCAAATCAGAACTCTTCCCACCCACACCCCTTCTTTTTCAGGGCATCTTTCACTGCAAACAACAGATAAACTAGTTGGAAAGCTCAGCGGATTCTCACGGTGGTGCCTAGCAGGCCAGGCCTAGCTGCCCTTTAACCTGTGACTGAGGATGATGCCACTGGCCTGTAAGCACACATTGGAAAATCTTTACATCCAGGGACACTCCATGCCACACAGAGACAGCTGTGCATGGTTCTTTAGGTTTGAGGTGCTGTCCTGGCCGTTGCCTTATAAATATGTCGGATTAAAATGGGTTGCCCTGGAGCTTATCTAACCTTTATCCTCCTCCACTCCCCGCCCCAAAATGAAGGAGCTGCTAGTTTTGTTTGCTTTATGGAAGATGGATCTGTCATTGTTTTTAGAACCTTTGGAGAAAGATTTCTTGGGAGGAAGCTATCCTGAACCCCCAGAGATTTTCTCATTTACTGAGCACCAGGTTTAGAGTCCTAGGTCTTCATCCTGGCTCAGCCACCCTCCAGCTGTGTGACTTTTGAGAAGTTGCTTGTCTACACTGAGTCTCGTTGTCACCTATGAGTGGAGGCTGCTACATTGCTACTGTTTGGAGTACCTACCCCCCAGGCACTCTTACAGCGTGATGGTGAAGATAAAATGCAATAATAAGGCTGAAGGGGGAGGATCGCTTGAAGTCAGGAGTTCAAGACTAGCCTGGGCAACAAAGCCAGACCTCATTTCTGTGAAAATGTTTTTTAAAAAATTAGCTGGACTTGGTGGCTTACTCCTCTAGTCCCAGTTACTCGGGAGGCTGAGGTGAGATCACTTGAGGCCAGGAGTTTGAAGCTGCAGTGAGCCGTGATCACTCCACTGCACTTCAGCCCAGGCAACAGAGGGAGACCCTATCTCAAATAAATGAATAAGTCAATAAATAAAATAATAAAATAATGCATGCAATTACTACACTAGTACGTGATCAGGCACATGATAAGTGCTCGATAAATGGTAGCCCCAATAAAATTTGTAATGTTTTGGGAGAGGGTGTTCTTTGGACTCAGCCCAGTGACAGAAGCATTGGAAAAGACTGATGTGTATGATGGCTGTTTCCTACAAGTACAGGCCTGTACCCCCAGGGACCCAAGGCATTGGCTCCATGGGGCACCTTGTTCTATTTACGCTTGTTTTGGGCAGCACCGATTGCCCTAGGGCTAAGCAGGACTGCCACCACTGACTCAATGGCCAAGAGTATCCCCCTCCCCAAGCTAGCCATGGGAAAGCCACTTGCATCATAAGACTACAGGAAGTCAAAGGGAATAAAAAGCACGATTTAGTCAGCTACTCTCCAGCTTATGGGCAATAGATTTTTGCTATTTTGAACAGAGTTGTTAGGAACATTCCTTGTCTGCATCCCCTGTTTTATATAGACAAGAATTTCTCTTGGATGTAGAGTAGAATTGCTGGGCTGGGAGGAGTGTGAATATTCAACCTTATGAGATGGAGTCAAACTGTTTTCCAAAGTGGTCATACCAGTGTATACTCCCAGCAGCAGTTCTTAAGAGATCTTGGGATCTCTATCTTCTGGTGAGGTCATAAGCAGTCAAAAAGAATGAACGCCAGCTATGAACAACAATAAGAATCTTAGCAATATAATATTAAGTGAAGAAAACAAATTCCATAAGGATGCATACAGCATACTTTATATAAATTGGAAAAGAAAATGTATATGCAGGCCGGGCATAGTGGCTCATGCCTGTAATCCTGACACTTTGGGAGGCCAAGGCAGGAGGATTGCTTGAGGCCAGGAGTTCAAGACCAGACTGGACAACATAGCAAAACCCTGTCTCACCAGACACTAGAAAAATTAGCCGGGTGTGGTGGTGCACACTTGTACTCCCAGTTGCCCATGAGGCTGAGGTGGGAGGATCTCTTTAAGTTTAGGTGTTCAAGGTTACAGTGAACCATGATTGCACCACTGCACTCCAGCCTGGGCAAGAGAATGAGACCCTGTCTCTAAAGAAAAGAAAAAGTAAATAAGTAAATAAGTAAAATTTAACAACAAACTGTGGGCCAGGTCCGGTGTCTCATGCCTGTAATTCCAGCACTTTGGGGGACTGAGTTGGGCAGCTCACGAGGTCAGGAGTTCAAGACCAGCCTGATCAACATGGTGAAATGACGTCTCTACTAAAAATACAAAAATTAGCCAGGCATGGTAGTGCACGCCTGTAATCCCAGCTACTCGGGAGGCTGAGGTAGGAGAATCGCTTAAATCTGGGAGGCAGAGTTTGCAGTGAGCTGAGATTGCACCACTGCCCACCAGTCTGGGTGACAGAGCAAGACTCTGTCTCAAAAACTAAACTATACTAAAATTTTTAAAAAAATTTTAAAAGTTGGGTTTTTGATGAGATAACATTGACAAACAACAGGAAACATGACAACTGATACTGCAAAAACTCAGGCCGGGTGCAGTGGCTCAAGCCTGTAATCCCAGCACTTTGGGAAGCTGAGGTGGATGGATCACGAGGTCAGGAGATCGAGACCATCCTGGCTAATATGGTGAAACCCTGTCTCTACTAAAAATAACAAAAGTTACTCTGGCGTGGTGTCAGACGCCTGTAGTCCCAGCTACTCAGGAGACTGAGGCAGGAGAATGGCGTGAACCCGGGAGGCAAAGCTTGCAGTGAGCTGAGATTGCACCACTGCACCTCCAACCTGAGTGACAGAAGCGAAACTCTATCTCAAAAAAAAAAAAAAAAAGTAAAAAAAAAACAACAACACAAAAACAAACCCTCAAAGGGATCACAAGTGCCTATTATTAGCAAAATATGCAAAGAATAGGAAGAACCTACTAAAAATGGATAAAATTTCAGACCGATCTAGGAATAACAGATTTTAAACATGGTATCCAACCATGAACAGACACAATTACAATAATGGAGATGGGACGCGTTAATTAATCCCCAAGAAAAGCCTGGGACCTGATGATTCACTGCTGCATTCTAGCAAATATTTAAAGAAGAACTAATACCAACCTTAACCAAACAATTCCAAAACTAGAGAAGGAGGGAAGACTTCCAAACTCTTTCTACAAGGCTAGTATTGCCCTGATACCAAAACCAAAGATACATCCAAAAAAGAAAACTACAGGCCAATATCAATGATGAATATTGATGCAAAAATCCTCAACAAAATATTAGGTAACTGAATTCCACAAGCATTAAAGTTGGGGTGCAGTGTCCCAGGTTCACTCAACCCTTCCTGTTTTCCTCTCTGTGTGTGTCTACTTTGCTGTGTTTCCTGGTGGCATCAGCGGTGGCAAAGTTGGTGCGTGGGCCTCCCAGGACAAGGGGAAAGTGAGTGTGCCCTTTTCTTGCCTCCTGCCAGGTGTCTGCAGCCTGGCACAACTTTGTCCAGGTCTCCAAGCCAAGGACCTGGAGATGTTCTTTTCCAATTTCTGGATTGGTAGCTTGAGGCAAATTCTGGGCACTAGAGTCAAAACTAAGACGAGACTGAAGCAGGGGAGTCTGGGGTCCTGAGAGGCAGAGGCCTGAAACCGTCTAGAGCCGTGTGGGGAGCTGGGTGCGTGTTCAGGCCAGTTGCTTCTCTCTGTGCCTCAGTGTTCCAGGTACCTTGGAGGGACTGAGGTCCTAGGGATTCCTGGAGCCTGGCTGCATGGCCTGGCCACCCTGATGCTCTTGTGTGCTCCACGATAGGGCAGTAAAGCCGAGGAGAATGGCTCCGACAGCTTCGTGCACTCCATGGACTCACAGCTGGAGCGGCAAATGGAAACCACCCAGAACCTGCAGGACTCCTACATGGCCATTGTCAACAACACCACGTGGGACCTCGTGGTTGGTGTCACGCCCAAGACCGTCATGCATGTCATGATCAACAACGTGCATGTACCGCCTCATGGGGGCAGGAGGCTCCTGTGGCACTGGGGGTGCAGATAGCCATGTTGGCCTGGGGGAGATGCTAACCAGCCCTATGGGACCAGGTCCAGGGTGGCAGGCACGGTCCGGACCAGAGCTATCTCATGGAAATATAACATGGGACTGAGGACAGTGACCCATGCCTGTAATCCCAGCACTTTGGGCGGCCAAGGCGGGAGGATAGGTTGAGCCCAGGAGTTCAAGACCAGCCTGGGCAACATAGTGAGACCTGGTCTCTACACAAAAATTTTAAAAATATCTGGGATGGTGGTGGCACGTGCCTATAGTCCTAGCTACTCCACAGGCTGACATTGGAGGATCACTTTGAGCCCAAGAGGTTGAGGCTGCAGTGAGCAGTGATCTCGCCCACTGTACTCCAGCCTAGTGACCGAGTGAGATCCTATCTCCAAAAAAAATTTATTTAAAAAACTGAGTAGATAGGTGTGCTGTTGGCATGATAGGTCCTGGGTCGCCTCCCAGACCTGTGACCTTGGACAGGTGACTTTTCCTCTGGACCTCAGTGTCCCTATCTGAGTGAGAAAAGGGCGGCGGGGTGCCAGATCTTTGAGTCTAAGCGGTGTAGAAGCCGCGTCTGAAAAGCCATACTCAGGGCTCCAAGTCCAGCACACAGTCCCAGCAGGGCCTGGCAGGAGGCCAGCACAGCACAGGCATCAGGTCGCAACCTCCTTCCCTCTTTGCCCACTCTCAGACCAAGGAGTTCATCTTCTCGGAGCTGCTGTCCAACCTGGCATCCTGAAATTGAACTTGCAGGACAACCAGGTGTCCTGTCCCTGTACTCCCGTGGGGACCAGAACACACTGATGGAGGAGTCAGCAGAGCAGGCACAGCGATGCGCCGAGATGCTGCGCATGCACCACGTGCTGTAGGAGGCGCTCAGCATCATCGGCAACATCAACACGGCCACCATCAGCACGCCCACGGGGTCTGTGGACAACTCCTGGCTGCAGGTGCCCAGAGTCCTTGCTGGACGCAGGTACCAGGACTGGCCCCCAAGGCCCCAAAGTCCCCCAGCCCCCATGGCTGAGCCTGGGGCTCTTGGAACAGGCTCTGTGCCCAAGCTGACAGACGTGGGTGCTCTCTGGAACCATCAGAGAGCTCATGGTTTATGGTGTAAGGGCTTAGAGCTTGGAAGGGGTTGTGTGTGGGGCTGCACTCTGAGGCGGCCAGAGGCCTAGGAATGTCATCCTGGGCACGCCGTACCTGTTGTGCAGTGTGAGTCATGCTGCCAGGGCAGAGTATCCAGCTCCCAGCCTGGGAGTGCTGAGAGCCAAATCCACTGCAGAGGAGGGGTGAGAGTCAGGGTCACACCTCCTCTATCTGTCGGCAATCCAGTGGTGATCTAGGATAAAACCTCGAGAGTCCCATACACACGGTCAACCCACAACACACCTCACAGGCCAGGTAGGGACACACAGCCCCCTTCTCTCCCTCCCAGGTACCATAATAGCTGCCAGCGTGTGACGGAAGACAGGATCCCTGGCCCCCACTCAAGCACCATCGCCAGTCAGCAGGCTCACGCACCTTGGCCTGTTGCTCCTAGAGGTCGCCTCTGCTATTCAACCAAGGAGACCACAGTGCCTGGTGTCCTGGCTGAGCTCTGCCCGGCAAGCCCACCCACCTTCCCTGCCATGGAATCTCCCTCTTCTGCTTCTCCCAACAAGAAGGGCCAAGCCTCACCTACGCGACCTGCAACCCCCAACAAGCTGAGGCTCCCCTCTTAGACTTATAAGTCTATAGCCAGTAGAATCCAGCTGCCTGCCCTCCCTGCCTCCCCCAGCGTCCCTTCAGAGGATCCTGGGCATTCTGACCACCCAGAGGGTTCTCCAGTGATCACTCCAGCCATCCATCCCTTTTAGCTTCATCATCCTGGTTCAAACAGTATTCCTTCTCTATCAGGCCTGGTGGCTGTTGCATTGGGCTCCCCAAGGCGAGAGGTGGCCCCGGACCAGTGGGTTGGAAGACAGGGTGACCAGAGAAGAAGGAAGCCCAAGGAGGCTGAGCACTGGTCTGACCGGTGCATGTATTACCTGGGTGCCGTGGAAGAGGCCAGCGTGCGTGGGGTGGGGAGGGCTGCCACAGCCCCCAGGCACTACCTGTGAAGCTCCGGCTCCTCTCTCCATCTTCCTCCCCTTTCCCTTCCAGCCCCTCTTTTCCAGGAACCTTGCCACACCGGCACCTGTGCCCTCCCCTCCCCGGCCCTCCCACAGCTGCTGTGGCACATCTGTGCTCTGCACTTGCCTCACCAGCTCTCTGCTAGCTTTTCTCTCTCCTATTTTCTCTCTGGTTTCTCTCCAACTGCCAGCCGATCGGGTCCGGCAAGTCCATCCCATCCTCAGAGCCCAGGCACCCCTTTGACCTCTAAACAGATCCCTCCTCTTCTTGGAGACCTCCCTTTCCAAGCCTGCCTGGGCGGCTGTTCTGTGATTTGACAGTGGCTCCCCCAACCCCAAAGCCTGTCCCCTTCATCTGTGACTTGGTCTGTTGTAGTGGTGAGCGGACACATCCAGGTGTGACCATTGCTGAAAACTTGTGCCCACCCTGTGGTACCCCCCTGCCCTGGTCTATAAATATCTATAAATACGCCTACACACACACACACACACACACACACACACACACTCCTACACGTGGCTGGCCGCCTTGCCTCTAGCACTGGGAATCAGTCACCGTGCTGTCCTTTTGGAGTCTTGTGTGCCAATAAGAGAAAGCTGTTCCCTGACATTGCCTCTCCAGAGTGCAGCACCTCCAGTGAGCCTCCCTGTCCTGCCCGGCCTATGGACAGCCAGCCCCTGCCATCCCTCCCGCCCCCCACCAAGCATGGGAGTGCTGTGCAGGCAGCTGTGTGGCCTGACAGTCTCTACCAGTCCTGCTGTCCCTCAAACCCATTTCTGGATGGCGGGGAAATGTGTCCTCTGCTGGCTGTGTTCTCTGTGGAGCTCAGGGGAGGGGAAAGGCCAAGCTATTTCTAGGGTGCTATTGGGAGCAGTGAAAAGGCCATACCCTTTCCAAGCGGCACTTTTCCTGGAAAGCCCCTGGAGCTTCCCTGGCTCTTATCCTATGAAGCTGGCTTTGGCCACCAGGGGGCAGGGCCATGAACTCAGCCTGGAGGGAGCCTGCCGGGCAGCTGGCACTCAGGAGGGACAGAAAGAACAGGCCACCAGGTGCAGACAGGAGAGGGAGGCAAGGGGACAGAATGGAAGACACCTGGGGTGGGTGGAAGTCAGTGCCCTTAGGTGCTGGTACCTGTCTTCCCGGCCACCGCTAGATCAGGCTTCTGAGCCTGTTGGCTGTCAGAGCTGGACTGCGCCCCATAGGCGCCATGGCAGTCCCCGTGGAATCCCCCAGGTGCCACCAGGCAGCATACAGGTAACAAGCCTGGAAGGTCCCCAACAGCCTCGCTGGACATGCTCAAGACACTCTGGGACTCCTCGTTTGGTGGCACAAACTCCAGGACCCAGTGAGGGAAACGGGAGCACACCAGGCCGAGGAGTATGGTTAAATCTGTTTATTCCAAAATAAAAAGCAAAATAAACAGGAGTCGCATCACCAGGGAGCCACGACCCCATCCATGCCTCCTTCCTCTGTCCTATGCTAGCAATAAATAAGTTTCCCAGCCACAAATAATTATTAGAACCTCCTCCCCACATGCCAGCTCCAACCACAGCTAGGTACGATACAGGGGCGGCCCTACCCTCTGGAATATACAAAACGTTACACAGACAAAATATGTACACTGGGGAAGGGGGCCCACGCAAGCAGCCCATGTCTTCGCCTGGTCCACAGTTTGCCCCACTGTCCTGCCTCAGTTACCTCTCTGAATATGAAGGTGGGAGCCCCCCTGAGAGAAAAGTTGCTATGCTGAGAGTAAGGAGGCCGTCAGAGTCATGCTTAAAAATTTTTACTTTTTAAGGTCTTGTCTTGCTACCCTAATTTTAAAGGGGTGACTCGGAAGGGGTGGTAGCGTCATGGTGGCAGTGCAGACTCCAGCCCCACTTCTCCAGGCTTTGCTGACACAGAACTGCTTTTAATTTTTATTTTTATCCCATGACTTGTTTTTTAAATCCCATAACTTCTTTTTCATAACATTTGGTAACTTTGCATAAAACTTTTTTCTACATTTTTGCCACAATTTTTCACTTTTTTATCCCATAACTTTTTCACTCCATAACTTTTTAAATCCCATAACTTTGTAAA